ACTCAATCGCTTTTGATAGAGTGTGGGCTCCCTCTGCTGCTTGCAGGAGACACCAGGACTCTGGGCATTTGGGGTTCCTTGGAGATCAGCGCAGAGGAGGTGGCCTGAACTGGGAAGAAAAAGATGGGGCTGAGCATTGCAGAGGGTCCGACTTGTTCTGCAGGCCCTGCCCCTATGGGCTTCTCAAAGTAATTGTGCTGCTGCTGCACCAAGAAGCGAGAAGTGAAAGTAGCAGAAAAATACAAAGAAACTGTAAGATGCACTGGCCAGATCACCTGTGTGCACAGTGGAATCATCACGGAAGCCACGAAGCCTGCCCAGAGCGGCAAGCGCCCTATCGCCAGGCTGGAGTCCAGTGGTGCGATCCCGGCTCACTGCAACTTCCGTTTTCTGGTTTCAAGCAATTCTCCTGCCTCAGCCTCTGGAGTAGCTTCGACTACAGGCATGCACCACCACGCCCGGCTAATTTTTTTTTTTTTTTTTTTTTTGTATTTTTAGTAGAGACGGGGTTTCACCATGTTGGCCAGGATGGTCTCGATCTCTTGACCTCGTGATCTGCCCGCCTCGGCCTCCCAAAGTGCTGGATTACAGGCATGAGCCACCGCGATCGGCCCTTCCCATATCTAGTTTAAACAAATCATAGATACCCTTACAACAGAGACCAAGGAAAACAATCAGGAATAAAAACAACCTCAAAAGAAAGAGAACTAACTCAGGAAATAAAAGGATGTTTAAACGTTTTCCAATTATTATTATAACAATATTTAAGAAGTTATTGGCCGGGCGCGGTGGCTCAAGCCTGTAATCCCAGCACTTTGGGAGGCTGAGGCGGGTGGATCACGAGGTCAAGAGATCGAGATCATCCTGGTCAACATGGTGAAACCCCGTCTCTACTAAAACTACAAAAAATTAGCTGGGCATGGTGGCACGTGCCTGTAATCCCAGCTACTCAGGAGGCTGAGGCAGGAGAATGGCTGAACCCAGGAGGCGGAGGTTGCGGTGAGCCGAGATTGCGCCATTGCACTCCAGCCTGGGTAACAAGAGTGAAACTCCGACTCAAAAAAAAAAAAAAAAAAAAAGAAGTTATTACATTCAAAAATCAAGAACAAGATAGTATGCCAATGGCACGATAATGCCGCATAAACAGAGTAAGGAGAATAAGTAAATCGGTAAATTTAAAGTGGTGCATTAAGGGAACAAGAAAGTGTTCTTATAAAAATACGATGGCACTTTGGGAGGCCGAGGCGGGTGGATCACGAGGTCAAGAGATCGAGACCATCCTGGTCAAAATGGTGAAACCCTGTCTCTACTGAAAATACAAAAAATTAGCTGGGCATGGTGGCGTGTGCCTGTAATCCCAGCTGCTCGGGAGGCTGAGGCAGGAGAATTGCCTGAACCCAGGAGGCGGAGGTTGCGGTGAGCCGAGATTGCGCCATTGCACTCCAGCCTGGGTAACAAGAGTGAAACTCCGACTCAAAAAAAAAAAAAATATGATGGCTTAAATAAATTCAAGAGAAAGGTCAGACGACAAAACAAAAGAAGGCGCCCAAAAAGTAGGACAGAAAGACAGAGATAGAAGACATGAAAGAAAAGAAATATGAAAGACTTATCCAGGAGGTCCAGTCTACAGGTATCCCAGATAGAGAAAGATAGAAATCAAAGAGAAAAAAAGCATCAAATGGACAACAAAACAAAATTGCCCAAAAGTTAAAGATAGAAGTTTATAGATCAAAGGAATCTACCAGGCAAACAGGACAAGGGCTTTTAAAAGACCCAAACCTTTGCAAAATTTCAGAATCCTGGGAGGAAAAGGAAAGATCCTAAAACACACTAAAATATAGACCACGACCAAATGGGATATATTCCTGGAATGGAAGAACTATTCAACATATGAAAATCAATCAGTGTGGCCTGGCTCAATGGCTCACATCTATAATCCCGGTACTTTGGAAGGCCAAGGCGGGCAGATCACTTGAGGTCAGGAGTTCAAGGCCAGCCTGGCCTACAAGGTGAAACCTCATCTCTACTAAAAATACAAAAATTTAGCCAAGTGTGGTGGCACACGCCTGTAATCCCAGCTACTTGGGAGGCTGAGGTAGGAAAATCATTTGAACCTGGGAGGTGGAGGTTGCAGTGAGCCAAGATTACACCACTGCACTCCAGCCTGGGTGACAAAGTGAAACTCTGTCTCAAAAAAAAAAAAAAAGAAAAGAAAAGAAAGAGAAAATCAAGCGATCAATGTAATATAAAACATTAACAGAATGAAGGGGAAAACTACATAATTATCTCAACTGATACAGAAAAAGCATGTGATGAAATTCAACATGCTTTCATGATAAAAACACTAAAAAATTAGAAACAGAAGGAAAGTACCTCAACATAATAAAAGCCATATATGAAAAAGCCTCAGGGAATATCATACTCAATAGTAAAAGACTGAGTTTTTCCTCTAAGATCAGGAACAAGACAAGGATGCCTGCTTTCACCACTTCTATGCAACATAGTAATGAAAATCCTCACCAGAGTAATTAGGGAAGAAGAAATAAAAAGGATCCAAATTGGAAAAGAAGAAGTAAAATGATCTCTGTTCACAGAGGATATGATTTTATATGTAGAAAACTAAAGACCACCAAAAAATTGTTAGCACTAGTAAACAAAATTTAGCAAAGTAAGGTATAAAGTCAACACACAAAATGCATTTTATACACTAACATGCACAATCTAAAAATAAAAAAACTTCATTTATAATGGCATCAAAAATAATAAAATACTTAGGACTTAACCAAGGAGGTGAAAGATTTGTACAATGAAAATTCCAAATTATTGCTGAAATTAAAGAAGACATAAATAAATGGAAAGACATGCCCTCCTCATGGATTAGAAAACTTAATGCTGTTAAGATGCCAATCCCACTCAAAGCAATTTACAGATTCACTTCCATCCCTACCAAAATCTAAAAGACATTTTTTGCAGAAACTAAAAATCCTATCCTGCAAATCATACAGAATCTCACGGGACCCTGAACAGCCAAAACAACTTTGAAAGAGAAGAACAAGGCCAGGTGCAGTGGCTTATGCCTGTAATCCCAGCACTTTGGGAGGCCAAGGCAGGCAGATCACCTGAGGTCAGGAGTTTGAGACCAGGCTGGCCAACATGGTGAAACCCCATCTCTATCATAAAAAAAAAATAATAATGGTATGGCCATTTCTCAGCATAGAAATACCACATGATCCAACAATTTGTCTTACGGGTATCTATCCAAGTGAAAGCACAGACCTGAACAGATATTTGTACACCCATGTTTATAGCTGCATTATTAATAATAGCCAAAAGGTGGAGGCAACCCAAGTGTCCATTGACATGAATGGATAAACAAAATGTGCTAGGTATATCCACACAATGAAATGTATTCAGCCTTAAGAGGGAAGGAAGTTCTGACACATGCTACAACACGGATGAACCCTGAAGACATATGCTAGGTGAAATAAGCCAGTCGCAAAAGGACAAATAGTGTATCATTCCACATATACGAGGTACCTAGAATAGGCAAATTCATAGAAACTAGAATGAGGATAGGTGGAGACTGATTATTACGCTCAGGCCCCTCCCACCTCCACCCATTCCCATGGGAGGCCCCTTGAACCAACATAAATCTTTACTGGATAGAGTTCCAATTCAGGATGATGAAAAAGTTATAGAGATTGATGGTGGGCACAGTGGTCCACGCCTATAATCCCAGCACTTTGGGAGGCCGAGGCAGGCGGATCATTTTAGGTCAGAAGTTCGAGACAAGCTTGACCAACGTGGTGAAACCCCATCTCTACTAAAATATACAAAATTAGCCGGGACTTGTGGTGCACGTCTGTAGTCCCAGCTACCTGTGAGACTGAGGAAGGAGAATCGCTTGAAGCCGGGAGGTGGAGGTTGCAGTGAGCCAAGACTGATGATAGTGACAACTGCACAGTAATTTCAATGTATTTCATACATCTGAAAATGGTGAAAATGGTAAATTTTGTGTTATGTATATTTTGTCGCAAAGCACACAAGCCAGGTGTGGTGGCTCATGCCTGTATACTAGCCCTTAGGGAGGCCGCGGCAAAATGATTGCTTGAGCTCAGGAGTTAGAGGCCAGCCTGGGCAACACAGGGAGATCCCATCTGTATATTTTAATGTAAAAAATAAAAGAACACACACACAAACAGAATCTGTATGAGTCACACGTTTAGGTAACTGAATATCCTCTCTGTCCCCAACCCCCACAAGCCAAAGGCAGAAGGGCTTTATTCCACCAAAGAGTTTACACCAGCCACAGCTGCCCACTGCAGCATCCTCCCAGGAAAAGCCCTTTTGTGTGTGGAGGAGGCAGACGGCGAGGGTCTGTGCACATTTTTTATTTTTTATTTTAGGGACAGGGTCTGGCTCTGTCTCCCAGGCGGGAGTGCAGTGAAGCGATCACGGCTCATTGCAGCCTCGAACTACCGGACTCCAGCGATCTCCTAACACAGCCTCCTGAGTAGCTGGGACTACAGGTGCACACCACCACGTCCAGCTAGTTTTTTAAATTTTTAGTAGAGAGAGGCTCTTGCCATATTGCCCAGGCTGGTCTCAAACTTCTGGCCTCAAATGACCCTGCCGCCTCCCGAATCGTCAGGACCACGGGAGCCACCGGCCGACCTCTGTGTGCACCGAGGAGCCACGCAGCCACCGCCACGATCCAGCGTGGCGTTTCCATCACCCCACTCAGCCTTCCTGTGCCCCTGGTTACTCATCTATAAATAGAGATAATAAGCGCCTAGCCCTCTAGGCCGCCAGCACGTTGTACCCATAATTATTATGTTTGGTGCCACATTTTTCGGCTATTAACCTTTCCAAAGCGCAGCCCCGCCCCAGCGCAGCCCGCGTCCCCCCACGCAGAGACGCAGATCACGGGTGGGAGGTGTATCCCGGAGGCCCCGCCTCCCCCGCGCGCCCGCGCTCGGCCGCCTGAGATCTGGGAATCGGGCCTCTCGCGGCGCCCTGGTGGCGGCGCGGGGCGTTGCTCCGCGCTGGATTGGTGACGCCTGGGGCCCGCGGGCGCCTGCGCAGTGGTCAGAGCCGCGCTCGCGCCGAGGGTCTGCTGAGTGACCGCGGCTGCTCCACCGCGGACGCCGCGCCATGGCGGAAGAGGAGCTGGAGGCTCTGAGGAGGCAGAGGCTGGCGGAGCTGCAGGCCAAGCACGGGGTGAGTGTGGCCGGCCGCCGCCAGGCCCGGCCCCCGCGGGGCGCCGCCCTCGCCCGGGGTGGAGGGCGCGGCTCCGGGGCGGTGGCTCTGGGCGCCTCCCCAGGGACCTGGGTCCCCGACGCTGCCCCGGCGGCCTCGTGGCCGGCTCCGAGGTGGCCTCGCCGCTTTCCCGGTCGCGAGGAGCCTGGGAGTCTGGCAGCGGGGCCGCCACGTGCGGGATCTGCACGGGCGTGGAGGTGTGGGGTTTCCCGGCCCGGAGCCGGCTCGTCCTGCCCGGCCTGAATCCAAGCACGGTCTCTGCTTTTGGAGCCAGCAGCAGCCGGGCCGAATTCAGTTGTTCGGACCCAAGTTTAGCCGACAGGCGTTGAGGGTCGCTGTGTTCTCGGTGCTGAGAGCGCGGCGGGGTCTGAGGAGCGCTCGTCCCGCCGGGCTGACAGGCCGGGAGGGGCCGCCCGGTGAGGCGTTTCTGATAAAGAAAGGGACGGGGACTTTAGGGACCGAGGGCTTGGTCTTTGAATGGTCGGCGGCCCTAATATTGAGGCCCGTTTTATTTTCCGGAAATTATTTCTGCACGTAAAACACGGTTTCGCAGGTCAGGGAATTCCCCTCCCCGGGGTGCTCTGTATTCTAAAGCGTTCTGTGAGACGGTGATTTTAGACGCTCATCAAAACATTGTAAGTGGGAACTAGTTCATTGATTTCTGTGAGGCCCAGTTTATTAATTATTTGGGGAGTTTCTACCACTGCAAGAGACTGTTGTGTATCGGAAACAACAGAACCGTTCCTTCCCCCACCCCCTGTGAAATTTCTCTATTAAATTTATTTATTTATTTTTTTCCAGGATCCTGGCGATGCGGCACAACAGGAAGCAAAGCACAGGTATGGGCTGGAAACTGAAGTTTTTGAAGGTGGTTTCACCAAATGGGTTTCTTTTGCGTTCGCTATTTTAAACAGGTGACTCTTAGTTTTTTGTTTTGGCTGGAATGGTGATTTGGCCAAAATCATTCGCAGGGTGTCTTCGTTATTGTTAGTTAACACGTGTGCAGCGCCACATCACGGCTTGTATTGCAATTAGTGGTTGATGTTTCTCTGCTAAACTGTGAGTACCTTAAAATGAGCCTGATAATAGGCAGCTGTGGCAGCTTCCTCGCTTGTGGGAGTGACATGAGTCTACTGCCTCACTTAGCCTGCCTCACTATTCTGTTTTACCCCAACACAGGGCAGAGCACCTGAGACACATGCAGGTAATTGATTCGGTGGCAGGTTTATTGAATGAGTATGTGATTACCCGATCATGCTACCATTTTTTAAATTGTTGAAATAAAATTTCACTATCTCAGCCACTTTTAAGTGTGCTCTTCAGCAGTGTTCACACTCTAGAATGTTTTCATCTTGCAAAACTGAAACTGTAGCTAAGGGAGAATTCTCCATTTCTCCTTCCCCACCTCCTACCACCTTCTAACTCTTCTCCAGCAAATACTGAGAGAGCACCTGTTCTGGGCCAGGCACAGTGCTACGTCTGCAGAAATAGGCAAGGCAGGGGAGGGTTCAGGAGAAGGCAGATGGTAAGAAGCATCTGGAGTAGTGATAGGAAGGAAATACAACGATCTGAATTTCAGTGATTCTGCGTGTACATCTTTTCATTTTCATGTATCTAAAATCAGAATGCCTTTCAGAATGAATTGCTCTTGTCCCAGATTCTTCCAGCGGGGATTTACTTTTGCCTCTGCCATCACTTGAGTACATTTCTAATCTGAGACCACTGAAAGTTAAATTCTCTGCTTGAGGTTTTTTCCTGCCTCCTCCCTAGTAGTGTGAATTCAGACAGCAGCCCTGTAAGACTGAACTTTTTTTTTTTTTTCTTTCCGTCAGGACCAGATGCATGCAAGCTTTTGTACTGCCCCTTACTGCGTGGCAGATTTATTTCTTCTTTACCTTGTACTGAGAATGTTGCTCTTTGATACTCCAGTGGTGGAATCAGAACTCACTGAAGCCTCAAACTCCTCCTGGGCTCAAGTGATCCTCCCACCTCAGCCGTCCGAGTAGCTGAGACTACAGGCGCGCACCACCATGCCTGGCTAATTGTTTTAAACTACTCTTTTAGAGATAGGCGTCTCACTGTATCACCCAGGCAGGTCTCAAACTCCTGGCTTCAAGTGATGCTCCCATCTCAGCCTCCTAAGATACCCTAGTTTTGAGTGGAGGTCCCTATTAGACCTCTCATTTATAGTTTTTTTTTTTTTTTCTTTTTTTAGAGTTATATAAAACTATGGTGCATCTTACAATTGATGGCATCTTAGGGTTATGTGATAATAGTTTGTGGCAGGTCAGGTGCAGTGACTAAAGCCTGTAGACCCAGCTACTTAGGAGGCCAAGATGAAAGGATCACTTGAACACAGGAATTTGAGTTGATCCTAGCTGCAGTGAGCTGTGATTGCACCACCGCACTCCTGCATGAACAACAGAGTGAGATCCCCATCTTTTTTTTTTTTTTTTTTTTTTTTTTGAGAGATGGAGTCTTGCTCTGTCACTCAGGCTGGAGTGCAGTGGTGCAGTCTTGGTTCATTGCAACCTCCACCTCTGAGGTTCAAGCGATTCTCCTGCCTCAGCCTCCGGGTAGCTGGGATTATAGGTGAACAGGTGCCCACCACCATGCCCAGCTAATTTTTGTATTTTTAGTAGAGACGGGGTTTCACCATGTTGGCCAGGCTGGTCTTGAACTCCTTACCCCAAGCGATCTGCCCACCTCAGCCTCCCGAAGTGCAGAGATTATAGGCGTGAGCCACCACACCCAGCCTAGATCCCATCTCTTAAAAAAGTTTGTGGCAGGGCTGAGATATTCAAACCATAAAGAAGTGGCCTATGGACATGAGCTTTAAGCCACATTCCATGAACCCACGGGCCTCTGAGCTGGGAGTGGATAGTGGGCACAGCCAGCCCCAGCTCTCCCTCAGTTCAGCCAAAGTATCTGTGCTCATTTGTTTTTAGATTCCTTAAAGGACTTCATTTGAAAGAAACTTGAAGTCCATGGGACCACTGTCCTGTGAACATGTACTACTTTCTATTTGGGTAGGTGGGAAGAAGCGAGGATAGTTGCAGAGTTATAATTTCATTCCCCTTTCCCACCCAGAAAAATAGAACTGTCTTAAAACATGAACTCCGGCTGTAACTTGGCCGGAGTTACCTATGTCTCTTGAGCATAGCCTCATGGATCTCAGCTTTATCTCTAAGAAAATTACATAGATTAGTCACATGGTCCTTGTAATTCCCTGAAATCCCATTATAAATTTCTAGCACCTGTCACACGATAATACTTAAGAAATGTTGGTGATAGTGTTTGAACTGAGACTCCACTGATGAAAACTGTAAAGCTCACCTTCCAGCCTGGTAGGGTCTCACCTGTGTAATATAAAGCTGATTCTTTAAGGGCAAAAGTAGATTCTACTGGAATGTAGCTACAGCCTGGTATACAGCAACTACCGTAACACAGCAGTACGCCACAGGGCCCATGTGGAGACACATACTGGATGAGTTCTTTTTTGTATGTTTGAATGCCAACAGCTTTGTTCTAATTGTGCTTGACCTATGTTTTTGTTGTAGGGAAGCAGAAATGAGAAACAGTATCTTAGCCCAAGTACTGGATCAGTCAGCCCGGGCCAGGTGTAAGCATCTTTGATTTTATTTCCATAAAGTTGGCTTGAGTTAGTTGAATGGGGTGATTATATGCCATAATCACTATCTCTAGATGAAATATTTGTTTAGGCTGAAAACACTAGCGATTTGTAGGAAGTGTGAAGTTTATAAACTTCACACAGAGAAACTGTACTTTAATCCCTATTAAAAGGACCAGTCACTTCTATTACCAAGATGTTCTCTAGGTATGTATTAGGTAAGATTTATAGGAAACAACTCCTAGGGCTAATCACAAAATGTTGCTGGTAGTTGACATGGGTGATGGGGACTAGGGGTTTTTGGTATGTGTTGTCAGTTTTGGTTGTTCAGAGTTGTTAATCATAAAAACCAAAATCTGTAGAAAGAAAATGAGCCAATCAGAATGAACTGGTATCTTCCATATTTCAACTGGAGGCTTCCAGTTTGAGTGTAGAAAAGGCAGCCAGTTGGATCACCACCATTATGTATGTGTAACAGATAAACCACTTTCCAGAGGGCAGTCGTATATTTTAAGAAACAGGAAGCATGGTGCTTAGAATCTGAGAACCCAGGTTTAATCTTGGCTGGGCCACTACCCCCATGTGGCCATGTGGAGATTGGCATGGTTGAACTTCAGTTTTCTCATTTTTAAGAGGCATAACAATACTGTCTCGCCCTACCTACTTCACTGGTTGAGAGACAAGCTTGTGAAGTGCTTTGGAAATAGTGCATAGTTTTCAGGTATAATAAATGTAAGTGCATTTGATTTGAATGGCTTCTTTGCATATGTATTTTTTCTTTTTTAGTAAGTAACTTGGCACTTGTAAAGCCTGAAAAAACTAAAGCAGTAGAGAATTACCTTATACAGATGGCAAGATATGGACAAATAAGTGAGAAGGTAAGCTTAGACTGCCTTGAGGATCTTTACCTGCTGTTACCTCTTTTATGAAAACATGGCTTCAAAAGGCCAGCTTCATCTTCACTGGATTACAGAATCCTTGCTGACTCTTAGAAGAAATTGTTGCAGGAGAGAATAGTCATACCTACCATAAAAGAAAATTACCTTTCCCAAGTTCCTCTGCTTCGTTCCTTTCCTGATGTTGCTCTGGAACCTTGTTGGTGTCTGTGTGACCCAGTGACTGTAGGGTCAGCTAGCTTCAATTGCTACACTGGAAGCAAGGTTTGTCAGTAACACCAATTAAAATACTACCAGTGTAAGTAGAAATCAGGTGTGTTTTACAGATGAGAATGTGCTAAGATCCCTTGGTTATGTTCTGGGTGTTGCTGTAATGCCTTGAAGGGTATGTTCTAGCAAACCTGACCTTTGAAATCCAGAGGACCCCCACCTGCCCTGAGAAGCCCCCGCCACACCCTGCCTGAATCAGTCCTGTCCCCTAAACCCCTCACACTTGTATATATTTTTACTAGAGATGGGGTTTCACCATGTATGGTGAATGCATGTATCAGTTGTGGGAGAGCTGGTTGGGTTGATCTTTTTCGAGTGTGACTTACCTCCTTCAAGGGGATATTTAAGCTTGTCAGGCAGAAGTGGTGTGTCTGTATTCCTGACACCAAACACAGTGGTATATGTGGTTGTCACTCTGTGCTAGTGATAATGAAGGTGTTCTTAAATATATCTGTTAGCTTTCAGTTTTCCTGAGGAAGCGACTTTATGGATACTTCCCCATCCTTCTCAAATGAGGAATGGCAGAGCAAATTTTATTTGAAACTTAAACCAATAGTTATAACCAATAGTTTCAACCTTCTGCCCCACCACTCCTTCTGTCCTGAACTCTTTCCCCACACTGCAAAAAGACTACAAAGTGATTCCACCTGCAGAGGTAAAATATTTGTTTAAAGTACTGTTTTATCTTTTCTGGTTCTCCTAGGTATCAGAACAAGGTTTAATAGAAATCCTTAAAAAAGTAAGCCAGCAAACAGAAAAGACGACAACAGTGAAAGTAAGTGTCCCCAGATGCTCGTGGCAAATGAAAAGATGGATCCTCTAAAGATTAATGTTGAATATACATCTGCCACAACATATTTTTTAGCTCAGGGACATTTTCATATTGTAACATGTGAAAACTATCGGGGGAGGGTTGCAGTTTTTTAAAGCCTGTTGACTCCATTCCCATCCTTTTAGTTCACGTTAAGTTGCTTTAAAGATACAAATGTCGTGCTAAAATGGGTAGAAATTTTCTTTTCTTGGAAAATTTGAGTTATGCTTTTAGAAATGTTCTGACACTCATTTAATTTTCCCCCTAGTTCAACAGAAGAAAGGTAATGGACTCTGATGATGACGACGATTATTGAACTAAAAGTGCTTACAGACTAGAGCTTAACAGAACAATTCTAGGACAGAAGTTAAGATCTGATTATTTACCTTGTTTATTGTCTATAGGCCTTTAAAAAAATAAACTTGTTATGCAAAATAAAACATTTGGGTAAGTTGTTTTAGTATCATAGCCAAGTGGCCAGATCTGTGTTTTGAATTTTTCCCCTTCCTACCAGAAGCTTTTAACCACGTGTACCAGCATGAATATATCCTTTGCAAAGGTGCCATGAGTATTAAAAAGCGAAAGTGTCCGTGTGTCCATGGTGGAAACAAGCTGCTCCAGCACTCCAGGAAGAAAAACATAGCGGCCACCAGTAACTGGGGAATTAAAACCTGTGGATCGGACTAAATCCGGTTCAACATCTGAGCACATCTAATATTCTAAGACCTAGGTTCTGAAATCAGGTAAGCTGTTTCACTTCCTGCAGATAGTACTTCCACTTAATGTAAGAAAATTCCTAGCTTTGCCAGGCGCAGTTGCTCATACCTGTAATCCCAGCACTTTGGGAGGCCAAGGCTGAGGCTGATGGGTCATTTGAGGTTGTGAGTTCGAGACCAGCCTAGCCGACATGGTGAAACCCCATCTCTAGTAAAAATATAAAACCAAGCTGAGCGTGGTGGCACATACCTGTAACCCCAGCTACTCGGGAGGCTGAGGCAGAACAATCACTTGAACCCGGGAGGCAGAGGTTGCAGTGAGTCAAGACCGCACCACTGCATTCTAACCTGGGTGACTCCATCTCAAAAAAAAAAAAACAAAAAACTCCTAGCTTTGATCTTATTTATAATCTGTTTTTCAGAGGCAGTGAAATTAACAATACCACTCCCAAAATAACTATAGAGTGATATGACTGAAAAGTAATGACCAAAATAGACATGTTGGTAATACTACTTCAGTAATATGTTTGTAAGACAAATGACTTCTAATAATTTCAAGTCCAGTTGAGACAGTGCAGCATTTAAACATTTCAGTAACATTACTGATAAGTGTTGCAGGTGACTTAAAGCAAATGTTCTCTCTTATGTTGTGCTTTCTTTCCACTAGGTTATGAAAACCTGCACTCATAAATTACTGTTTTCAGAGACGGAGACTTGCTGTGTTGCTGAGGCTGGCCTCAAACTCCTGAGCTCAAGTGATCTTCCCACTTCAGCCTCCCACGTGGCTGAGATTGTAGGTACAAGCCACTACTCATATATTTAAATCATAAACCTAACCATCAGCCAGCTGTTTGGTGTAACTTTTTAAATGTCTTAGTCCTGTGAGAACCAGTGCAGGAGTAAATTGATAACAAGGTGAATGGGACTAGTAGAAAAGTGAAGGGAAATGTGGTTTGCAAACCCCAGTCTCTGTTAGCCAGCATATTACTGATACATGTTTAAACTGGACATTCTACTGTATTTGAAATTTGTATTTACTGTCAGTGAAGAAAGTGTTAGAATAATATCTAACATTCTAAGTAGGTAGAACCATTAAGAATATCAACATTTTTTTAAAGGAACAGTGATCATAAGATGAAATCTGGTTAGGAATTTTTTGTCAGGGTAAACTGGTAATTTAAAAAGACAAATTTGGTCAGGAATTTTGAAAAAATCCCAATTACAGGTAAATTTTGCTTTAGGCTTTATTTACATAAAAATGCTAGGGGGACGTGAGCCAGTTCTCTGCAAGTTCTGTTCTGTGCTTTCTCTCGCAGAATAACCACTGTCCTAATGGCAGCTACTCAGTGTGTTTAAAGATGGTCAGATTCTTGTCTTTCAGACACCTGAGAATGAAAAGTGGTTCTGTACACAAGGGGAGAGGCTTCTGGTAGCAGCAAGAGGCTGGAGTGCATTTAGGGAGCGGAGAGTGGTTGTTCTAAACTTATTTAAATCAGTGAACTCGCACTACTTTGAATTCAGAACTTTTCTTCACAAAATGGTAATAAGGGCATTAACAGTTTCTAAACTGTCATGTCAAGTTTTGAGTAGCAGTTGGAAAAAACACAATTTTTTTTTTTTTTTTTAAATAGAGGGAGTCACTTTAAGATGGAAAATAGCTCAAGAAGAAACACAGCATTTAATCTCCAGGGGAAGGGTATGCCAAGTTTGCGGCTGCCACTGCCAGCCAGGCCTTGATCCTGGCTGTGAGATCCCTTGCAAATAAGTCCCCTTATTTTTCTGAACCCGTTTCCTCATTTGACAATTCTACCATCCAGGGCAACTGTTTAAATGGGTATATATAAAAATATTTTTGGCCAGGCGTGGTGGCTCACGCCTGCAATCCCAGCACTTTGGGAGGCCGAGGTGGGTGGATTGCTTGAGGTCAAGAGTTTGGAACCAGCCTGGCCAACATGCTGAAACCCCACCTCTACCAAAAATACAAAAATTAGCCAGGCGTGATGGCAGGTGCCTGTAATCCCAGCTATTCTGGAGGCTGAGGCAGGAGAATTCCTTGAACCTGGGAGGAGGTGGCTACAGTGAGCCAAGGTTGTGTAACCGCACTCCAGCCTGGGTGACAGAGTAAGACTCCATCTCAAAGTTTTCAAAGTACTGCACCACCCCAAAACATTAGGTGGTATCAAATGTATTTGTATCTTGAGAAAACCTGTGGTGATAAACTCTATAGGATATATTTTCTTAACTGGGATGGTATAGAACCACAGCAGCTTTAGTTGATAAGGTGGTTTTAATGAAAAGGGGGAAAAATCAGAACAAAGAAATTAGCAAAGCAACAGGTCTCATTTCCTGTTTGGGGTAGGAAGCTATGGTCATTTTATTCTTCCAATTTTCAAAGAAAAAATTTTTGTGGGCCCTGAGCACTGTGCCTACTGGATTAAGTCAGCCTTGGTCAGATAGAGGGATAATGATCTAAGTGATCAAGTTCCCATGTTTCAGTCTCACATCTAGAACCAAAAAATGTCTATCCATTCAGTGGGGACGGTTTTTTGTACACGTAAAGCACATGTTTACAGCAGAGGCCGAGAAACATACACAGCCAAACAACTAAAAAAGCATACCATGACACACTCAAGAATCATCATAAAGTTTACTGTTTCTTTTCCATCATTTGGCACATATCCAAGGCACATTAGAAAATTAGAAATCATAAATTACTTTGTAGAAAAATAACCCCTCCCTTCTGTACATACACAAGTATTTCCAAGAACATGCACAAAACCGTTTCCCTATTACAAGGGCATTTGAAAATGGACTCGAGACAAACCCATAGTTGTAGCTCTAGGCCAGTAACATAAAAAAATAACAGTGTAATCTATAGAAATTTATAAAAAGGAATAAATGGCAATAAATTCTAACCAAAAGTAACTTTGACCTGGTTTGTGCTGTAAGTTTTGAATTTGAATCAAAAGACTAAGAAAAGATGTGCCAAATCTACTCTCTAATCCAGTAACCATCCGACAGATGTGAGTGTGACATTCAAGGGAGGTTCTCAACAGAAAGGGCTGTTTCTAGAACACTGCTACAGATGCATATGCAGAAAACGGAATAGTTACTTGTTAGAAGGAAAATGATAACCAGCCTTTCCTATATGCATGATGTGGAACAGGTCTAATGCATCCTTGCACTAAAATGAACATCAAAATGGGATTGAGGCATCTTTTGGTTCAAGTGTTGCTTTGTAGACAAACATTGTCCAGCTGTTTTCTTCCTTCAGATATGACATTTCAGCCTGGCCTCTCTAGTACCATGAAACCTAAATTGTTTCTCTCCGGCTTAATTCCAGATGGAGGAATTCTAGCTGTGGTTTGCAAATAACATACACAGGTCAGAGAGGTTTAGCACCTTTCGGGAGGAGGAGGTCAGAATCTGGTGGTGAAACCTCTCTCCCCGTGCCCAGCAAACCCTCATACTTAAAAAGCATGTACTTCTGGCTTAAGGATCTGGACGCTATTGGAATTTGTTTCAAGTGTATTCATTAGCTTTGAAGAGGAGAGGGATGGTGAATTTGTTGTTGCCTTCTTTTCTCAGCCACAGAAAAACTTTCAGGAACTTGGCACTGAAAACTTCTCTAGCCAGTTTCATGGAAGTACATTTAGTCCTCAGATGTGTTCACACTCAGCATCTTGTTGCTTCTTGGCAGTGGGTTAACGACTCCTCATTCCTGTTAGGACTGGGAAGCACTAACCTCTTGGGGAGTGCAGAGGGGGCCAGCAGTCTCCGGGTCCTGCGACACGACCGCATCCTCCACCGTGTGTCTCCGCAGCATCCGCCTGTGTCCAGGGCCAGTCTGTGTCAGTCCAGGCCTCTCTGGCCAGTCGCTGTTGCCTTTCTCAGCAGCATGAGGTACACTCTGAGCAGGCGGATTATTCTGACTCAGTGTGACACTTTGCCTCCCTGGCTAAAGAAAAAGTACATTTTGAAAAGTACATATCCTCACTGTAGTGGAAGCTACCACCATGACAGTGACAGCTGTCCCTTAGTGCTTAGTGTCACAAAATGTGCTCAGTACTTGACAGGCATAATTTATTTATTTATTTTTTTGAGATGGAGTCTTGCTCTATAGCCCAGGCTGGAGTGCAGTGGCACACTCTCGGCTCACTGCAACCTCCGCTTCCTGGGTCCTGGTTCAAGCAATTCTCCTGCCTCAGCTTCCCAAGTAACTGGGATTACAGGCATGTGCCACTATGCCCAGCTAATTTTTGTATTTTTAGTAGAGACGGGTTTCACCATGTTGACCAGCCTGGTCTTGAACTCCTGACCTCATCGTGACTCACCCGCCTTAGCCTCCCAAAGTGGGGGGATAATGGGTGTGAGCCGTTGTCCCCCCTTTTTAGGCTGAGGCAAAAGAATCACTTTAAGTTGAGAATATCACTTTGCCACCCAGACAGGAGTGCAACAGCACAACCTCAGCCCACTGCAACCTCTGCCTCCCAGGTTCAAGTGATTCTTTTGCCTCAGCCTCCCAAGTAACTGGGACTACTGGCACACACCACCATACCTGATTTTTGTATTTTTGGTAGAGAAGGGGTTTTGCCATATTGGCCAGGAGGCTGGTCTTGAACTGACCTTATGATCTGCCTGCCTCGACCTCCCAAAGTGCTGGGACTGCATGCGTGAGCCACCTCGCCTGGCCGACAGGCATAATTTCAACTCTCACATCCCTGTGCGGTAACATGGCATGTGCACGCTGCATGTATCAGACACAGGGCAAATGTTTCACGGGTTTTCACAATCTTTGACTCTAGGAAGCATGTACTATTGTTATCCCATTTTATAGCTGAGGAAACGGGATCAGCAAAGTTAAGCCACCAGCCTGAAGTCCCACAGCTAGCAAAGAAAAAGTTAGCACTATGATGAAACAGGCCGATTTCAATGTTTGTGGCTTTCCCACAAAGCAGCAGGTCTACTAGCAATGCCACATAAGACTAAATAGGATATCAAAATTAGTCATGTTAATTTAAATCATTTTCATTATCTAAAACAACAGTTTACAACTTTTGTGTATTTATTCCAACAAGCCTATGCCATATACACTATAAATTCTCATCACCAATAAGGAAAGCCGTGGTTCTAAGAAGAATCACTGTTTCGGATCACAGGTTGTCAGTCTGGCTTCTGTGCAATTTAAAAATGCAGCAGGGACTGGGCATGGTGGCTCACACTTGTAATCCCTCCACTTTAGGAGGCCGAGGCGGGTGGATCTCCTGAGGTCAGGAGTTCAAGACCAGCCTGGAGAACATGGTGAAACCCCGTCTGTACTAAAAATACAAAAAAATTAGCCGGGCATGGTGGCACACGCCTGTAGTCCCAGCTACTTGGGAGGCTGAGGTGGAGAATGCTTGAACCCGGGAGGTGGAGGCTGCAGTGAGCGGACATCACGCCACTGCACTCCAGCCTGGGCCACAGAGTGAGAGACTCTGTCTCTAATTAATTAATTAAAAATACAGTAGGAAAATGGCCACATAATTGTCTGAGCAACTGTATTCCGTATTTGGAGATACTGTTTACCTGTCTGTAAAGAAACTGTCGTTTTCTTTGGTGATTAAAACCACAGTGAAGTTTGAGATGTTTCCCCTCCTGAAATCAAGGCCTGCAGCTTCCCACACATGTAACACTTTCCACTCTTACCTCACTCTCTTTTCTCTGCTCAGAAACGTACTTTTAAATACAACAATCAGTGAAGTCTGTACTCTAGACTGTCCCATGAGATAATCCCAGTTTTAATTGTTGCTAACTCATACGGTGCAGGGATAATGAAGATGACCATCATGGAGAAAAGTGTTTACTATGGATTACTTTTGACCAAGCCAAGCTTTAGAAAATATGATTACAAGCCAGTGTTTAATAACTCACCTCATGCAAAGAACCTTCGGTTAAATTAGGGGCACTTCTGTCTCTTGCCATAATCTCCCTTGAAGTCTTTCCCCTAAAACCCAAAATAAAACAAACATTTGGGACAGTGGCATGAAACACTCTGGCTGGCCATAAGGTGGCAGCATTTTTGACATGATTAGTGCAGATTTATCCATAACCAGTTAAAACTGAAGCAGGCTACAGCCAGCTTTGAGTAAACTAGGGGCAAAACCACAGAAATCAACCTGATGTTTATACTCACTTAAACTGACCAGCCGGGTGGACAAAGTAAAACTGTCTTGTAAAAGGTTCATCTGGTAGATCATACAGTTTTGAGTTCCCTGTAGATAAAAGGATAAACATCTAAAATCTTCAAAAACAGTGTAAAGATTGTTTTAAAATTACAGCATAGATACAATCTTTCCATTCTCTCTTTTACAAAATTTAGAAAATTAAGCACTCAATTTGTTTAAAGAAACATAGCTAGTATCTATTTATAACAGGTTGAGTATCTCCAATCCAAAAATCTGAAACCAAAAATGCTACAGGCCAGGCACAGTGGCTCGTGCCTGTAATCCCAGCACTTTGGGAGGCCGAGGAGGGCAGATCAATTGAGGTCAGGAGTTCAAGAACAGCCTGGGCAACATGGAGAAACCCCATCTCTACCAAAAATACAGAAACTTAGCCAGG